CAGCGGCGGCATGCTTGTGAAGTAGCCACACTTGTGCCGGGCTCCACTAATGGACTGCTAATAGAACCCAAAGCTGCACTTTGATGCTTCCCCTGTAGTTTACAGGGTGACAGTGTGTAATTAATTGCGCTCACTCCCCTCCCTGTCTGCTTTTTCTCTTTTTTGCTACGAATAGAGGTTGTCATTGCCGTGACTTTGCTCGCTCACCTACCTGCGCAGCTGGATACGGCGCGATTTGCCATAGACAATGGCGCATGCATACTGTAATACATCTTTTCCACAGCCGGCGCGCTACGTGACATCAGAAGAGGAGAGCTGCAACCTCAGCACGCCTTTCACAGCAATTATCACGAAAAAATATCCTCAGCACGGGGGAAGGCCAACAAACAGCGTGTAGTGCTGACGCCCACAAGGCGACCAAGAAGGAGTTTCTGATGACACACCGTTTGGCTCGACCTTTACCTTCACCAGCACGTGACCGCATTAAGTCTCATTTTCTCCTTCAAACTTAAACGGCCTACATCACGAGGGAATTACGATACACGGTGGCGCTAGGTCATAGTATAGTAGCCGTTCGGCGCACAATGAAGCCTTTGTGTTTTCAGAAGTACTTTGAGAACGACCACGATGGCTGTAACCTTAGTAGAGCCCTTGAGACCCGACCGTTAGGCAATGAGGGAAGCACTTAGAGTAATGATGATCGCAATAACATTCTCATTTTTACGCCAACCTTGTCTCTTTTTGAGTTTGCTAAATATTTTCTTAAAAATAAAAGTCAGCTTGCTTCATCTGATCAAAGATGGAGTCCACCTGAGCCATGAGGGAAACCAGCTTTTCCTCAGCAACCTCACAGAGGGGAAGTAGGCTACATAATAAATAATATTTTGGCATTCAAATACATCGCGAATACGGAAAACATTTGATTTTGTGTCGAATGAGAGACCCAACGTTGGTTTCGGTTTTGTTTTAGCCTAAATGAATTCGTTTTGGCTTGTCGTTTATAGCTTCTTATATATTTAATTCTTGTTCTTTTCAAAATACTGTTAATTGAGAGGATTTGTTGTGGAGTGAGGGGAACTAAAATAGCCTAGCTATTAGGGCTGTGCGATATTGAAGAAAAATGCGATATGCGATACCTTGTTAAAAAATGCGATATTAGATATGCGATACGATATTGCTTAAAGTGTGTAAAATCAATTTAAATGATATTTTAAAATATTTAAAAATGAAAATTACATAACCAATTTGTTTCACATTCTTTACATAAAAAGTAATGTCACAAATCAGAAAATGTAATTTAACGTCAATGTGAACATACAAACAAAAAAAATTAATGACACTAATTTTCTATCATTGTAACTTTGCTTTCCACACACTTTAAGTACTTCTTCATATACCACAGCAAAAACTATAGTCTGAGAAATTCAAACATGATTAAAGGCACTCCTTAGACCTAATCATAAAAATAAAATATTTAAAAATGAAAATGATATAACCAAATTTGTTTCACATTCTTTCTTGGAAAATAAAGAATCACTTTTGAAAGTGACCAGCAGTGTTTTAGCATTACTTAAAAAGTAGTGAAATAAAAAGTGATTAAAATGTCATTTAACATCAATGTGAACATATAAACAAAAAAAATGAATGACACTAATTTTATATCATTGTAACTTTGCTTTCCACATACTTTAAGTACTTCTTCATATACCACCGCAAAAACTATAGTCTGAGAAAGTTCAAACATGATTAAAGGCAAGTGAACAGTCAGTAAAAAAAAAGAAAGAAAAAGAAAAAAAAGAAATACACAATTTACAAGCATAGATAAAATAAACAGTAGTATTCAGGTACAGAAATGTAATAATTAAGTGTAAAATAACACTGCATAGTGTTCACTGTATGAATTAAATTTAGATTAATCTTTGTTTTAGCCGTTTTGTTGTTTTGTTAACATTAGTGACATATTCAGCAGCACGTATATATAGGCTGCTGTCCCTTTAAATTAAATTAAAATTAAATTGAATCCAACTGCACGGATCCAGTATAATGATACACATCCGATTTCTTTCTCAGCTGTTTACATTCATTTAAAACATAACAGACTGTGTTTACGAGAATGATCGTCGAGACGGGTACTATAGGACATTTTCAGGTGTGAGTCTGTCAGACAGCAAGACGAGACGGCAAAGTTGTTTTCTGCAACTTATTGCACTTAACTCTTTTTAACGTCAAAAAATTCTCTGCTATATGCGTCGAACTAAAACTCTGACCTTTTGCAACGTTTTGATTTAAGTAGCCTATTATTAAAATGATAATGATATTGCACGCCGTTGCGATATGCATATTGCGACATTTACATTTGCGATATTTCGATAATTTCGATATATCGTGTAGCCCTACTAGCTATGTTTACAGTGTTTATTATAATGTTTGTAAACATTTCGCGTAGGCATTAGGTCTATTTCTGAATGAAATAATAAAATGCGACTTAGGCTATGCGACTTGCGTTTTTTTTTTCTTCTAAAAAACGCTATTTTTTTTATATACACGTAGCGTATTTTAACCATGCAGAAAACCTTTTTAAATATTTTGATAAATTACTGAAAAAAATAAATAAATAAATGACTTTTTAAACCGTTTAACTGATTGTATTAATCGGCCAAAAATTCTTACGGTCTGTTAACGGGTTAAAATGAACATCCCTAATCACTTTACATTTAAGCATTTGGCAGATGCTTCTATCTAAAGCGACGTACACTGCATTCAAGCTTTAGCATTCCCTGGGAATCGAACCCACAACCTTTCCATTGCTCTTCTGTTTGAACTAATGGTTTAAAAAGTAGCTATTAAATAATAAAGTAATACAGCATATATTCTAGAATAGTACAAAAATGACTTTACATTTATGCAATTGGTAGATGCTTTTATCCAAAGCGACTTATACATTGCATTTATGCTTAACTTTTTCTTCAATGCATGCATCTCCTGGGAATCAAACCCATGAACTTGCCGCTGAGCTACAGGAAAAAAGTAGCTTTTAAATAATACAGCAATATAGTACATAATCTAGAATAGTACTTTAACAAGTTCAACACCTTTTTTGTCAGTGATCTCCAAAAAAATACGAGATCAGCAGAATCCAGTACAGTACAACTGCATGAAACCACTGAGGAAGGGTTGAAGTCAATGTCAAACGTGGCTCGAAGGAGATTCACAAATCTGCCTTGTGATAGGGAGGAGGTCTGTGTGTCATCTCTCTGTGTCAAGAACATGGCTGCCGGTTTACTTACACAACAATTATTCAGCGAAATCCTTTTAATGGAGTCCCACACTCACTTCAGTGAGCGGACACGTTCAAGAAAGCAAACGGCATCAGCTCTGAGATATGCCACTAACACAAACTTGAAAGCATCTTCAGCATAGAGAAAGCACTTTTAACTCACACCGTTGTGCCCAGAGGAAAATTCATTTAATTAGTTCATTATAATGCAATCAAAGCACGCAGCAGAAGAAGTACTCAATAGCAAAATAATCAAAATATTTATTTTACTCCTAATAGAAACAGGGAATTTGGGTAAATTATCAATTCAAACGCTTAATAAATATAAAATGCCAGCAGCACATTCGCTTCTCACAGAATGAGGCCATGAGTGATATTTTGTGGTTTCAAGTTTCTCTGATTTCCTCAAAATATTCCCAAAGGAATTTTGGATAGTAAAATGATCTATAATATAAGTTGATGGTTTAATTATGCATTATTTTCAGTATATATATGGGGCATAGAGGAGAAACAATAATGTACAGTATGTGGAAAATAATGTGTTTTTTTGAACCTTAAACCGCATAAACACATTTCATTACACCAAATACACAAAATAATGTTCTTTTTAGCAACATCATATGACCCCTTTAAATTACATTAAAAGTGAGAGTGAAGACGTCTAAGGTAAAAAAAAAAATTATATTTAAAAAAATGCTGTTCTTTTGAACTTTATATTCATCAAAGAATCCTGAAATAAATGTATCAAGGTTTCCACAAAAATGTTAAGCAGCACAACTGGTCTAGTTTTGTATGAAAGCCTGTTTCTACCCTGGAATATATATATATATATATATATAATAAAAATTAAATAATAACGCGCTAAGTCCTTTCTATACTAAACAACGCGCAAACAAGATTTACAGCAAAAGAGATGGGTTTGAAAAACAACTCGGAATCAAATACTCTTATCCTTTAAAGCCAGAAAACGGTCCTGTAACAAGATTTCAGCATTCATAACAAGACTAAAGATATTAAGCAGCACGATAAGCCTTCAGAAAGGTACAGATCCGTCTGCGCATAAAAGGACAAACGCAAAAACATCGTTCTGCTCATTTCTAACGTGCAGAAACAAACGCGCTCCTGCTTTTGTCATGACAGACAGACAGACACACAGCAGCACAAGACGAAGTTTTCTCATGTAATGACCTCACTATGAGCTCATGGCTAAAATTAAAACCAAACCACAATTACCCACATATGCGGTTTTTCAATGTAAAGAGATTTAACCAACTGTAACAACACTGGCTGAAATATAAACAACACGCTCTTACACTCAACGATAATAAACAAAACTACTGCAACAAAAAATAATATTAACAGTAAATGCCATTGTTCGTTTAAATATATAAACAAATCAGATCTGGCGGGAATTAATTAACATGTTCGACCACACAAAACACAGAATTTACAAACAAAAACCACATCAATTCACGCCTGAAATATCAAATCTGACTAGTAATCTAAGCAAATGAAGGGTTTGAGTAACTCCCATGAAGACTTATTAGCATTATTTACTGAAATCAGATGGTATGCCGTATAAATATCTGCATAAAGCTGGATCGGTTTGACAACTTTTCATACGAAGACCTTGAACAATAATTTAACGAAACTTTCGCTCATCCAGCAAACTTCAGTCAGCGATACTGATCGATATTCAGCTAATATTGAAAGGTTTTCTTACCTTGAGCCGAACCGGTGTTGACGAGCGATAAAATAGTAAAAACTAGCACAGTTATCATCTGCGCTAAGAATCCCGATCCACCTCGTTCTCTTCTCGCAGTCTTTTTACTTCTTCCCATCATACAAACAGTCAAAACCAGGCAAAAATCCGGTGAAATAATAATCAGAGGAACCTCTGGAGATGTTGTTTCTAATAAAACCAGCGGAATCGCAGACTGCGGCGGAGAGATTATTTTTCGCGGAATGAAACGTTGATGGAATCCGTTGGTTTTTACCTCAGCGCACTCTTCTGACAGACAGCGGCCACCAACGCCCGTCAAACACAAGTGTTTGGGATTAATATCCTCAGTTCCTCCTCTTCTGAGCAGTTTTTCCCTCAAGGCTTCGCGAAACGCCGCGGATCGGCTGTAAACAGGTAAATCAGCGCTCCTGAGGTGAGTTGATGTCTGTCAGTAAAGTTCCCTCAGCGCGCGCTCCCCGCCTTCTGATGGAGAACTGGAGGAGCGCGAGATCCCCGCGCGATCCGCCGGCGCTGCAGCCAATCCGCTTGCGCTCCGACTTCAGTGCGAAGAAACCCAGGTGCGGAGCACGGAGCGGATCAACACCTGATCAGGTGGATCGTGTTATGAATGATCATCGGGTGTGTTAATGAGATGATGGGGAGCTGTTCTTTTCACGCGCCATTTAGATATTCTTCTGTTATTCTGCTTCTTTTGTGATCCTTTCCTGTCCATAATCTCTCAGCACATACTTAAAACACTTTAAATGCTGTAGAATGAGGGTTATTCATTCATTCATTCAATTTTATTAATTTATTAAGCAAGCAAAAAAATGCCAAAAACGGTTTGCCGTTGTAGGACTTTATTTTCTGACTTTCAATATTATTTTCACTTGTCATTTAGATATTTTGTTATTCTGTTGCTTTTAGGACCTTTTCTGCTTATAATTCAACCATAATCCCAGCACATACTGAGATAGGTATACGTTTAATCAGAATGAAGGGGAATATAAAGTATATATATATTTGCTTATTTTGCAATGTATTTTATTTATTTCTGATTTGATTTGACTTTATTTTCAGACCTTTTACATTATTTACATATTTTATTTTTCTGTTTTTAGGATCATTTGCCGCTCATAATTCAAAGGTAATCATAAAGGAATACTGTAGAATTAGAATAAACATAATTTTAAAAATATATATTCATTTTGCAAAAAGAAAGGCTGGTAAATTAAGAACAATTTGCCATTGTATGACTTTATTTCATGACTTCAAATGTTCTTTTCAAGTGTCATTTGGATATTTTATTATTCTGTTTATTTTAGGACCCTTTTATGCTCACAATTCAACCATAATCTCAGCACACACAGAGATCAATTTTTTTTATTGATTGATTTAGCAAAAATGGTTAGTGAATTAAGAACAATTTGCCATTGTATGACTTTTTCTGACTTAAAAGTCAAAAAAGGAGGTCTGAAAATGACTTTATTGTAGTTAATGTTTCACTCTTGGTTCTGATCCATGACACTGAGTAAACAAGAGGAAAACAAACCTCGCTGGAATCTAATCAACAAAACCCTAAAGTACATTTGCTTTCCTTATCACTGCCCTCCTGTTATTCATTTAGCCCTGCTAATTGCCCAAAACATGCTCTCTTGTCAGAAGGCATGATCAATAATTATGACAGGAAGAAAACCACAAACCATGATAACTGAAGTGAGCTTGCAAATTCTGCTGCGGCGCGCCGGGCCTGTCGTGGTGATAAGAGAAGACTGTATCTGTGATTCCAGCTCATCAATCTTCTCTATCTGCAGGTGTTTTGTGTTTGCATGTATGATGCATGATGTCATGGCTTAATGGTTAAGGATCTGGGCTGCTGGCTTCAGTATTGCAGGTTCAACCCCAGGTGGAGTGACCTAGAAACTGGAGAGCTGCCGAAATTCCAGTCCTACTCCGTCACCATTGTGCCCCGGAGCGAGACACTTAACCTCGGGTTTCTTCAAGAAGGCTGTTCGGTCGTTTCGGATGGAGCATCTGCTAAATGGCCAGTAAAATAAACTGTTTGCAGTATTAAAAAAAAAGAAATCCAAGACAAGTTCTCTCAATAATTGTGCTAAGTAGCACTACTTTGTTTTGTCAATTTGAATTTGTTTATTCACTAAATGCAAAATGCCTCATTCAGCCTATAAATAAATCAGTTTTCTTGTTCAACAATTTTTTATTTAGTAACACAAATTATTTTGTTACTTCGATAGTCGTATATATAGTCTTACTCAATATGTTAAGTGAATGCTATATTTATTTATGAAGGAACAATCATCCTACAAAGCAAATATATCCGGGATATAGTTTTAAACGTTTGAACAGAGTGACACACAAACCTCAAGAACATTGACAATCAACAAATGTAAAAAGACAAGCTCTTAACATCACAACACAACAAATAAAATTATATTTCACACAAAAATGAAAAATTCATCATCATTTACTCGCCTTCATGTTGTTCCAAACCTGTACGAGTTTCTTTCTTCTTATGAACAACAAAGAAGATATTTTGAAGAATGTTGGCAACCAAACATTTGCTGGCACCCATTGACTTCCATCAAATTTTTTCCCCTACTATGGAAGTCAATGGCTGTTTGGTTAACTGTATCTTCTTTTAAGTTCCACACAAGAAAGAAACTCACTGGTTTGAAACATTTGGGTGAATTCTGTTTGGTCTGACGTGGATTTTATGTAGTTTCAAGAAAGCTGCATTAATATTTGAGACTCAGAAGGTTTTGTAAACTGTGTGGCAGTTACATTGACTCTTGTCTTATTTTTTACATAGAATGCACTAGATAAACCGTCACCGCATTGTCACCAAAGACACGATTTTCATGTTTTTCCATTTGATTTATGCATCTTCGCATTTTCCATGTAAATTCTTGAGCAGCCTCTGTAAATATTATGTAATGTTTACCGACAGAGGTAATGCTGTTTACAGTGGTAAGATCATACCGCCTTTAATCTTGAGTGACAACTCAGAAAACCCATTTACTCGGCTAGTAGTTAACATCATGGGTGGCCTGCCTGTGTAATCTCAGACATGGAATTCCAAGTACACAGCGTCTTCCGAGGCTTTGCCGTGGTTTTCTGTGAGCACAAACTCTATGGTCAACTCTATATCCCTTTGTTGGGAACAGGCTTTTGTTTGGCCACAATGACTATATACTATATATATATATAAAACTATATATTTTACAGTTTACAAAACCTTTAGAGTCTCAAATACTAATGCAGTTTTCTTGTAACTACATAAAAACCACCAACTAGTCAATAATCCACATATGCAACTAGTCAAAGAAAATTTCATATTGCTGAAATGTTAATGTTAATCATTAATGCATTTTGTGGTTACAATAGGATTACTGTTTTGCAGTCTGCCGACTTCATTTTTGTTGTTATTTTGCCATTATTGTTAGTTATTTGTTGAGTTGTGATGTAAATGTGTTAACTGTCAGCTATACTTGAGGTTTGAGTGTTGAGTCTTGAGGCCTGCTGCAGTATGTTCAACCATTTAAAACTATTTTTTCACTTTAGAGGACTATTGCTCCCTCACACACTGATTTTCTAGGTATTTTTGTCTTGTTTTCTAATATCTAAACATTTTTGAATCAAGATGCATTTATTTGAGAAGCAAAATGATTAGGATACTAAGTCTTAAGTCATGTTCTCTGTTTTTTTTGTTGTTGCTTAAAATAAGAAAAAATATCTGCCAGTGGGGCAAGAAAAATAACCTTGTTTTGCCTTTGAATTAAAATGATTTTTCTTACCCAACTGACAGATATTTTTCTTGTTTTAAGCACAAACTTGATGCATTTTTCAGAAAACAATACTTATTATTTTAAGTCATTTTGCTTCTCAAGTAAATGCTTCTTGATTTAAGAATGTTTAGATGTTTGTAATGGAAAATAAGACAGAAATACTAAGTAAGGAATTCATTTTTGCAGTGGCAAACAAAGATAGCATAGTTCACTTAACATCTATGCAGTTATCAAAACAAATTAATTTATTGTAACTAAGAGGCCGTTTACACAACACCATTTTCAACTAAAAATGGAAAACTTTTGATGTGTTTTGGCCGTTTTGGGGGCCTGAAAAAGCAAACTATTGAAAACGAGATTCAAACTGCAAGTTTAAAAAAAAAAACTATACTGTTGTCGTCTCCATGTAAACTATAAAAACACAAATTTGCGGAAACGGTGACGTCTTTACAAAGTAACAGCGCCAACTACTGGCCTGCCGGTGTTTTTAGTCTTTTTTGCATACTGTTTTGACAATGTTGTCTGTAAGTAAAAACAAAAAGGAAAGACTTCCGATTTTTTGCACATCATTATCCTGCAAATGTACAAGAAATCTGTTGTTGTCTTAATGAATTTATTGGCTGAATTATGCATTTTGCACATACTGAACGAACAAATTCAAATCGACACATCAAAGTAGTGTTAGTACAATTAGCTGAGAGAAAATAAAAATCTGAACACATCAACTTACCAATTTTCTCAGTTTATTATTTTTTTTACAGTGAGTAGCTATAAGGGCAGAACAAATATTGCATCCCGAGCAAGCATGTGCTATTAAATTGTGCCACATGTTGTTCATCTCTTCAAAAGCAACATAGATCTTTTATATCTTGGATATTTTTTAAGCTTTACAACTTTGAAATGATACAGTGTTCTAAAGCAATATCAAAATGTCAGAGGTCTCAGTCAGCAACACAACAATAGACATAATTCCCTCTCACCCTAAGGTTCAGCTCTGTAATATCGCTCTCTTTTTGGCATTGCAGCCGTTTTTATGAACCCGCTTTGATGACCTATTCCCATCCCGGGCACCAGAAGAAAAACAGCCCCCGAGAGAGCCGGGAAAAGAACATGTACAGAGTCTCCAAGACTAATGTCCCCCAGGGCTCTCATTCTGCACCAGAGGTGACACGCCGTGACATCATTTCCTCTTCCCAGCGAGGAGCCGCAGCATCCCTTTATTCTTCCACTTTCAGAGTTATTTGGACTGTAATCCTTCATAACTGCTTGTTAAATCAAGCGTAACGATGGACTGAATTGGGTGGCCTTAAGGCTGGACTTTCCGTGACACATTTTAGGACCTTTTTCTGGACATATCATACAGTAAATGATATATAAACCCAAGCCATTCACAATCGCATTCATTCATCGTGTTTATCCTTTATTTTATATCCATATGTGCAATTTCCGATCAATCAAACTGAGAACACGAGGACGTGAGAAACCAAATCGAGTGCTCGATATGAACTGGGATTTGAGAAAGCATGACTTATGCATTGACTCATCTTGTTTTGCGCGGCTCGAACAATGATGTCGGTGAGAATCTGACATCTTACTGGCATTTCACTTTGAATTACCAGTGGGAGGGAAATT